AGTGCTGCATTTTCAAAATCACTCATTTGAATCTACAATTTACAAATATGATTTATTTGTATTAAATTTTAAAAAAAACTCATTTATGTACATCCATTGGTCGAAATTCTACTCGCCATCCTATTGATTTATCATTTAATGGTGGTGGTTTTAATCGTAAACTATTCCATACCTGACTGTTTAGATTCTAGAATTAATTCATTTAAAATAAATTACAGTAAATGGAAATAACTAACTTCAAAATGATACGAAGTCGTATCATCATTTAGATGAAGAAGTTCTTTCATAATAACAAGTGGATCACGAATAAATAAATGACGAAAATGACGAGATAATGTTTCGGGCATTCCTTTTGTATTAAAAAAAATACAAAAAAAAAAGAAATTCTCGTAAACAAACCTTGATCAATAAGTTTTGTAATAACATATTGATCAACTGGATAATCAATATTATTTAAATATTTATTTTTATCAGCTAAATACAATGGAGCTGAACCATAACGCGATAGAAAATTTTTTTGTTTTTTTTCTTCAGCTGTTCGATCATCAGTAGCTTCACTTAATACATTCCATCGACAATCTATATCAGATAAATAACCACGCCATATTGGACATGCAGCACTTAAACATAACTGTTTAAAAAAATATATTTCGAATTTCAAAGAAAGAAAAAAATAATAAAATATACCATTATTGGGCATAATGGTAATAATTGATCATATAGATGAATAGTTTCTTTACATGATTCACCTTGAAATGTAACTTGAAGGCAACAACAACCCCAATCAGCTATTGAACTATCCAAATGAATATGATCATCTTTTATATCAGGATCATCTTTAAATAATTCATCACGAAATGGAGACGGTGTACATGAATCTTTGAATACTAAAACAAAAAGTTAAATATCTTTTAGCTAAAAAAATAATTAGGTTATGAATAAAAGAAAGTTTTTTAAACGATTATGAAAAGTCTTTGAATCTATTCCTCGGTACTATTCAAGAATGATACATCGGAAAAAAATATTGAAAGCTTCATTTCAATTAGAATAAGGAATAGTTGTCATAGAGTCAAAATTTTCAAATATTTTCTTCGAAAAGTTAGCAAACGAATGTGTCAAATTGTTTAATTAATTTTCTTATCTAGTGATATAACACAGAGTTCAAATATAGTCTTTATTGCCGGTTGTATGGAAGTAAATAAATACTTTTGTTTTTGAGTGTAACTGTAAGGTATACTATTTTAATCGTTTGTCTTTATTCTTCGACTACGAAACAGGAGAGTCATTAAATCTTATTGTTTTGTATGGATTTCGTCTTGTTGCAAGATCAATAAATCTTTATCCTAGATCTGTTGGCATATTCTTTAGAAATCAGATTCATTTGTGATGTTTCTCGGAACTAAAACTAGGTCAAAAATGCTCAAAGTTTATCATTTAGGACTATGCTTGGAACAAGCTTTTTAACACATGAATGACCAAGATTTTTTTTGTACTCGAATTTTTTAAGTATTTGAAATAGTTTTAAAATTTGACATTGAATTAATTCAAAATTAGAACTTATTGCTTTAAAAGGAGTTGACTTTCTTTTTCGAAATAATATTTCGTTGGCATAAAAATCAATAATTAATATTTTCTTCATTATTCGAGTATAATGTTGTTGTTGTTGTTGTTTCTCTGCAGACTTTTCTTACTCTGTACAGATTTATGCTGATAAAGTCTAATAGGACACATCAAATAGTTGACATCAATAAAGAAGATATATTATTATATATCTCTTTGAAAAATTTAATTGTTTTATTACTATGATTTTGCTGAAATAGCTTGAATACATATTAGTTAAGTTATACATGTATAAAAAAGAAAAAGTCAGTATCCATTATACATTATACCACACTAAAGCACAAAATACATGAAAAATTGACTATATGACATTAAGATAAGTCCTATACGGATTTTAGGAAATTCCTTTGTTTTTTGGTTGAAGGAAATCATAAGTCATTGTATTATTAATTAGATGATAGATAAAAATATATAAAATTCGAGTGTTATTCATATGTTTGTTTAATTTTATGTAATTTATTGTTTAATTAGAATCGAAATGTTTTATATTTGAAATAAATATTTATTCATGTCTAATTATCAGAAAGACGATTATTTCAAGATAGATAAATTAGTAAGAGATGAATAGAAGATTCATCAATAATTTACTGAAGATTTATTTTAATCTGATTATTTTCTAACACAAGATATATTTTATATTTTATATTTGTATTTAGTTCAGTTAATAAATTATTTAAACAAAACTTACTTGGAATATTAATTGATACTTTAGATTGACGTCGTTCGTTTATATTTATTAATAAAGATCTTTCAATAGAACAAATTTTCAAAAAAGAAACCAGAATAATTGATTTTACTTCATTCTTGGATGATAAGGTGACATAAGTGAATCGGAATAACATAAAGATTTTTCAACAGAATAAGAAAGGCCATATTCAATTGGTGGATATGTGTATTGTCCTTGTCCATATCTTGTACAATGCATGACAAAAAAAAACAGAAAATATGTTCATTCCTTTTTAACTGTTTTAAATAGATTGTATGAATTTAAAAACTTTAGAATACAATAAGAACCTTATATTCTTTATACATATGAGTTTAAGATTGTTGTAGAACTTCTAGTTTAGAATGTATCGTCTTATTGTTTTAAAGGCACGTGAATGAAGTTTCGATGAATTTTAGCTCCACAAAAACTTCTCAAAGTGGAGGAAAAAAATCATTTCAATTACAGTGAATGAAAGAGCAAATATTTCTTAATAAAAAAATGTATATTAATGATTAGTTTGTTTTAAGTCATTTTGTTTTTGATAAAGGACACTGGGCAATATTTTTCGATTTTGATGAGAAATAAACTTGCAATATGAGTTCAGCCATTCTCGAATGATTGTTTTCAAGTTTTTGATTCTTTTTATAACTTTGTCGAGAATAATTTAACCTTGAATTTCTTACAAAAATTTTGAATTCATATTCGAAAAGAAAATGAAATTCTAATTTTAATTTAAGATTTTCAAAATTCTCCAGATTCCTTGAAATAACTGAAAATTTTTTCGAATTTTTTGTAATTAATCATTGTAAGAAAATGAAAAGAAGAATAAAAATCAAGAATAAGAATATTTAATTATTACCGTGGAAAAGCAGAAATATTTAAAATATATTCACAATCGGTTTGTTCAAATAAAATTCGTTGTACTTGTTTTCTTCTTAGTCTCATATTTGCTTCCACTGTATTAAAATAAGATGATGAAAAGCCATAAGGTTGAAATGGAACACCTTCAATAGCGAAATCGCATGCTTCAGGATGCCAAGTTATACGATATGCTCTTTGAATATTTCAATATATTATTATCATATATATATTTATATAAAATACATACTCATCATCAATTTTTTTGTTTAATTCACTTAAAATTGGTAATAATTGATGACTTTTTAATAATAATCGAACATTTTTATTTTTATGATCAAATCTAACTAATGTTAATTCAGTCTTGATAAAATAAAAAAGTAAACAAATGAAGTAGTTAAATCATTGAATTATCTAATACCTCATCGCCCCAAAGAAATGCATCTTTCTGTCGATCTTTATATTTATTAAAGACATTTACAAGTTGATCAAGACCATAAGTTCGTATTTGTTGAAGAACAAGTTTTATTTCAGTCCATGATAAAGGATTTCCTTCGGATAATAGACCCATTTGTTTACATATGAGATTAAAAGACTATTATTGTAACGTTCTCGGTAGAGTGTATTTTATGTATGATGTTTGTTCTCTTCTTACTATTTCTTCTCAACGTGCGAGTTGTCCTTACCTTTCTGTTTTTACATCGTACATTATATGATACATTATCACCATTTTATTTTATCCCTATATTAACCTTTCCTTTTATATTTCTCTTTTCTCTATGACAGATTCGTATATGAGCATTTGCTATGTATAAAAACGATGCAATTTTTGATAAGAAGAAATATAATAAAGCATTATTCCATTAGCACTAACTCATTTTCTATCTAAAAAACATCACAATTATCAAATATCCTAATGAGTTACAGGTATGAGAAAGTTCTCTTTTTTTATCCTTTGCTTTCTTCTTATGTCAGATATTCTTTATTATAGTTCACATGATAATAAATATTGACAATGAAAATAAAACAAAAGCATCAATTGAAT